GCCGGACGCAGGACCAGGCCAGGCAGGAGATCTGGCAAAATGAAAAGTGAGCCTTTTTATTGTGTTATCAATTCACTTCTGAACAACAATTCCACAAAATATTCAACACTGTGCGAGGAACTGGGTCTATGGCACGACAGGAATCAAACCCAGAGATCCCGAGATGCAGACGTGATGAGGAGCCCACGGCACAGACACCACTTCCCAAGGACAGTCCCTGCAAACCTGGGTTTGCGTTTGGCAACAAGATCAGAGTTTGGCAAAATAATGATGATAATAATAATAATAATAATAATTAATAATAATCATAGACCAGAGAGCAGAAATGAGGAGCGCGGGGGATGAGACGCGTGGCTTCGGTTCGAGGAAGTAAATGGGTTATATTTGATTTTTGTTAAATAAAGTTGAGTTTTTAAGTACTCGGAGGAAGGGGGATCTGCTTGGGTCAGGGGGCTCTGGAGGCTCCAACACTGAGCCCTGGACCCCACAGTGGGTGCTGGGGGGTACCCGGCCCTGGCTGCACCCCAGGATGGTTCCCGAGCCAGGGAGGGCAGGACAAGGCAAAGGGACCAACAAAGGGAATCGAAGCAACGTTTCCTCTCCCTTCTCTTTTTCAGTCTCTGTTCTATTTTTGGCAGTGGTTTCACCACAGGCTGCACAGAAACCCCGGGCAGGTTAGGGCATGTGTTTTGTGTCCAGAAAAAGGCCTTTGTGATGCCAGGGCTGCCCATCCCCTCCCTGTCCCAGCACTTAAAAACTCTTGAAAAGTGTATTTTTTCATATTTTTTTTTCGATGATTTTTTCTTTTTTTCTTTTTTTTTTTTTTTTTGCAAATGCAAGAACAAGGTACAAGCAGCTACTGGAGTTTGCACTGATACTGATGCGATACAAAAAACACCTACAGTGAGCACAGGGATTTACTCAAGACCAGGAAAAAAAAAATATTAGAAATTAAAAAAAAAAAACAAGAAAAAAAAAAGGTCGAGGATTTTCCCACCTCACAAGTCCCCCCAGAGACACCAGCCTGCAGCCCCTGCCCCCAGGCTCCCAGCAGGACCCTGCTGCCACCAGTGTCCCAGTGCTGGGAGCCCCTGGCCCTGTCCCCAGGCTCCCAGGGGACCCCCAGGAGATGCTCCCTGTCCCCTTCTTCCAGTTCCAGCCACTTGCTGAACCCAAACCTGACACCTCACTGGCCACCTACTGCTCGACGGCCCACTGCTGGACATCCCACCACAGGATGTCCCACCACAGGATGTCCCACCACCAGCCATCCTACCAGCAGCACAACTCAGGCAGGACGGGATGAGTGTGGCCACACGAGTGGGAGGACATGGGGGGGAGGCGGAGACCCCCACTTCCCAGCCTGCAGCATCCCTGGCTGCCCTCACATCCTGTGGCATTTGCCAGCACCACAGGTTGGAGCCATCCCATGGCCATCCTGGGAGGGGAGGACACAGGCAGGGCTGGCACCATGAAACCATGAAGGTTGGAAGGGACCTTCAAGATCACCAAGTCCAACCGCGCCCCAACTACCACAACCCCTAAACTCTGTCAAGAAGCGTTTGCTTCTCGGGTGGGGGGGGCTGGGGGAGCCCCCCGGAGCCGAGGAGGGGGTGGGGGGGACGGGGCGGGTGGAGCGGAGGAGCCGCGCAGGTTCTTGGGCTGCCCTGCAGCTCAGGCACTCGCCCGGGGCACCGGCTATAGCACCATGCACTGGTCTCTAACATAGAGGAAGAATCAGCAATCTGGAGTAGAAAAATAAGGCTGGAACTAGATTAAGGACAGAGGAAATTCCCTTGCGGAGAAGAGAAAGTCCCGCAGCCGAGGGCGCCGCAGGCCCGAGCTCAGACACGGCCCCGGGAGCGTGAGGTGATGTTGGATGAGAGATCTGACAGAGAGAGAGACAAAACCACAACAAAAAGGCATCGCCTGCTGGGGACAGGGAGGAACACGGATCCTCTTTGCTGCTCCACCTGCCCCGGCGCTGGCATCGGGGGGAGGTCCAGGGGGTCCCGAGCAACCGGCTGGACACAACGGGGGGGCAGGGGAGCTCTGAAATGCTCAGACCAGCAAAGGGCCCTGGGATGTTCCCAGAGCTGCTGCAGTTGGTGTTAGTGTTAAAAAAACACGGGTTTGATTTTCCAACTTCTGTTTCCAAAGGCAAGTGATGGTGAACTTAGAGATAAAAGGAATGGCAAGACACCTGCAACCGGGGGGTGAACAGCGTCTCTGCCAACCGTGGCCTGGCCAGTCGGTGCTGGAGAGGGGCTGATGGTGCTCAGCCCCCCCAGCATCGTTGGAGCAAGACCCTCCAAGCTGCCCTTCCTCCTGGAAGATGCCAACTGGCCCTCCCTGGGCTCTGCTCCTGTCTCATCTGGCCCTGCCCTGCTCAGCTCCTTGTGCCTCGGGAGTCGGTGGCAGCCCCGGGGACTCCATCAGCCTCCAGGAATGGTCAGTAAAGGATCCCAGTGTCCTGCCCAGACCAGCCATTCCAACCACTGGAGTCACCACTGGGCAACTCCACACTGCCCAGTGTGGGCCAGGCTGTCCTCCCTCCCACCAAACCCCAAGAGCTCAGTGGTTTCCTGGGAAGCTGAACCCGGGGGCTGCTGGTGGCCGTGGCCATGGGAAGGGCTCCCTGACCTGGGAAGGGCTCAGCTCCCCTCCCAGCAGGAGGTCGTGGCATTTCAAACCAAATCCAAAGCACTGGGGGAATGGGAAAATTCCCAGGATTTTCCATCAGGTGTGGCTTGGCTTGGTTTGGTTTGGTTTTTTTCCCTTCTGTTCCCAAACCCAAAACCTGGCCCCAGGTGAACTCAGGCACCAACACAGGGTGCCCATGCTCAGGGTAACTGGGAAGGGACACTGGAATGCTGGTTGGAATCCCAATGGTGCCTCTGCCAAGGTGGGAGAATTTGCTGTCCCCAAAGAGCCACCAAGCCCTGGGCTCTGCCCTGAGGACTCAGACCCAACACAGGGGACCTCTCCCCTCCTTGTGGCTCTGACATTGATGACACCAGGGACACCGGGCTTCCCTGCGCTCTGATCCCTCTCCTGAGCATCCCTGGCACTTGGCTCCTCAGCACTGGGAGGAAATTTTGCCTGTGTGTCCCCTCTCCCACACCTCCCTGTCCCCTGCTCCTCCCCAGCTGCCCCGTGCCAGGTTATCCCCAGCTCTGGGAGCACTGCTGAACAAAGTGCTCCCATTTCAATCCCATGTCCAGATTCCCAAGGGATGGAACCCGAGCTGTTCCTTCCTCGCAGCCTCACCCCCATCTCCCCTAACTACCTGGTGGTCAGACAAAGGGAGATGGGAAATGCTGGTAAATCTGTCAATGTTGGTGT